GAAGCAGAAGGGAAGATCGTCAGGACTCTGAAAGAATAAGCCAGCCTCGCTGGAAAGTTCCTACTGCCTTGTGGCACCCCATTGCCACGGCTCTGTGGGAAAAGTGTAAACAGAGCACTCACCCTGGCTAGGTGCCAGCCCAATCACCCACCCCAGATTCATAGGGCAAGTTTCCAGGGGATTTTAGTGGGCTCCCAACTCTTCCCAGCAGTGTGGAGCACCTGGAATCCCCTTGCCAACAGTCCCTGCAAAGTTCACTTGGGCTTTCTGTGGGTCAGCTGCCCGGGAGGCTGCACCCCTCTAGGGTTCTGCTGCTTCGATTGATCAATGATTGTTGTTACCTTTCTTGCAATGTTTTTATATTTTATAAACCCATATAAACCTATGGGATAACCTCTGGTGCCCCACTGGAATTCATAGCCACAAATACAACCTGTTCAGAAAGCAGTTTATCAGTGCAATACAGCAAATCAGTGGCCTGCCCAGTCCTGCATCCTGTCAGGGGCAGTCCAGGAGGTACCTTGTATGCCCAGAGATGTTCATCCTGTGGGCACGAGTGCTTTGAAAAGGAGCAGAATAGTAATGCACTGCTACCCATCTCAGGGAAAAGAGGCAACTGTGCAAACTGATTTGGCAGGGGGCTGTGCAGAGGTGATGGCAGATCAGCACTTCAAAGGGTGGGGATATGCACCAAGGTCTCCATTGCTGCATCACTAATGCAGAGCACATGTGCAGCAGTGACGATCCAGAAGATCCAGCACAAAGCTGTGCTAGGGCTGCCAGCTGTTACAGGAGAGGGGCTCTAGATAGACAGACAACCACAGCTGCCCCCTCAGGACTCGTCTTTGGGGGTAGTCACGCTGGCAAGGTGAGCGTCTCAATGGCAGGCTGAATTGTGGGGATCACTACTTCGTGAAATTGTGATTTTGTCATCATTCCTCTGTGTGGGATGGAACCTTGGCACTGCAAAGGCAGAGCTGTGCAAGGACGGGGTGCAGTCTGGTTTTACATGAATGGAGATGCCTCTCTCCTAGAACTGGAAGGGACCTTGAGAGGTCAAGTCCAGTCCCCTGCCTTCATGGCAGGACCAAGCACCATCCCTGACAGATTTTGCCCCAGATCCCTGAATGGCCCCTCAAGGATTGAACTCACAACCCTGGTTTAGCAGACCAATGCTCAAACCACTGAGCTCTCCCTCCCCCGTTTTGAGGGGGCACTTGGCAGCCAGGCCTCACATCAGTGTAGATCTCCTCTTGCCTGCTGCTGCCACCACGCCATTTCTGTCTCCCACCCTGGAGCATTCTACCAGGCTCTTGGCAGAGATGGGGCTTTGGGAGCTGCAATCTTATCAGGGGAAGGATGGTGTTAAACTCTGACTCTTGGGGACACTGCTTCACCAAGGAAGACGTTCTGTTTCCTGTGATCACTCTTAGTTTGTAGTATGCAAGAAGGCTCCAACAAGAGCCAAGAACCTCTGACACCGGAGATCTCTGGCCATTAGCTCTGACCAAGGCTTCAGCCCCAATTCTATTCCATGGTTTGCCAGCACAAGGGTCAGGATACCTGCTGGATGCTGCACAGGGCATTCTGTGGACACTCAGTTTCTGGCACGATCCGACGCCATCGCCCCAGCCCTCGTCGGTGGCGTTCTGAGGGGGAAACCGTAATCCGGATCTTTGGACTTTGTACAACATCTAGATTGTGGCCACGAACTCGGATCACTCTCCCACCACTGCAACACACAGAAGCCGTCAGAATCACCTGGTCAGCCAGCACTTAACAACCCGTGAGCTCTCTGCCAACCCTGCTCCATGGCTGCTGCCAGCCTTTCTAGGCCAGCCGATGGATGAGTGGTTCAAGGCACAGGCCTGGACTCCATGCAGATGCAGATACTGCTCCAGTACCTGCTGAAAGCATGTGTGAGCATGCGGATGCAGCTATCAGTGCCCTGCGGTAACAATGGGGCATTTGTAGCATCAGGGATGCATCTCTCCCTACCTGAGGAAGCTCTTGGCTGGCTCTGCAAAAGTGATATTGGGATCCAGAGTGTATCTGAAGAGGAAACCTTCTAGTCTCCGTTCCGAGTGTCCATATTTGATAGTTACTGGAAGCTCCACAGACATGTTACTGGGGCTCGTCTGACACTGTATCTGATTTTCCTGCATCTCAGAGAGGCTAAGAGACACACATAGGAGAGATCAACAAAGGGTTAACACAGCGGTTCTAGAAACATAGAATACCGGGACTGGAAGGGACCTCGAGAGGTCATCGAGTCCAGTCCCCTGCCCTCGTGGCAGGACCAAATACTGTCTAGACCATCCCTGATAGACATTTCTCTAACCTACTCTTAAATATCTCCAGAGATGGAGATTCCACAACCTCCCTAGGCAACTTATTCCAGTGTTTGACTATCCTGACAGTTAGGAACTTTTTCCTAATGTCCAATCTTCCTTCCTTCTTTCTCCCCAAAGAGCTCCAAGCATCTCTCCATATTTGTTCTCAGGTTTATTGCCCCCCCGCCTAAAGGCCTTGTGTCCTCGCTACCGCCCTTACAAACAGGAGTAGTCACGACACATTTCTGAGCTACTCATCACTGGTGCTAGAGTGAATGGCTCATGAGATTTTTAGCATGAAGCCTGGGCCAAACATGAAGGGACTGGCACATGGCACCTTGTTTAGTTACAACCTGCATCTAGCCAGCAGCTCTTACATGTGGCAAGGCAGGTCTCCAATGAGAACACTGATCTCATTGGGCCACCCAGTCAGCAGCTTGGAACCCAGCAGGGTAAGGCAGGTTCCTCCAGCTTTAGGGCCTTGAGATGGAGCAATTAACTTCAGGGCTGGGTTCTGAATGGAAAGAAAAGAGAAATGAATGAATGAGAAACATTTATCAAAATAAGTGAAGGAAAAACATAATCTGAGACTGCCAGAACATGAAATACATAGCAGACTGCAGGCCAAACACAGAGCAGGCAACACACAATACTCCCCCAAGAGGATCAGTCACAAGTATAATTAATGTTATTTTTTAACAAGTTTCCTCAGCATGGACACATGTTCTCCGGAATGGTGGCCAAAGCACAAAGGAGCATATGGATTCTTTGCATATCTGGCACTTAAATATGTGGCAATCCTGGCTACAAAAGTGCCATGAAAATGCCTGCTTGTACTTTCAGGAGACACTGTAAATAAGAAGCAGGCAGCACTATCGCTGGTAAATGTAAACAAACTGGCTGAACAAGGAGGAGGACTGAGTGGACTTGTAGGCTGTAATGTTTTACATTGTTTTGTTTTTCAGTGCAGTTATGTAACCAAAAAACCCTTCATTTGTAAGTTGGATATTCATAATAAAGAGATTGCATTACAGGACTTGTACGAGGTGAACTGAAAATCACAATTTCTTTTATAATTTTGACAGTGCAACTATTTGTAACCAAAAAACCCAATAGTTTTATATTTATATTCTGTGTTGTAATTGAAATAAGAGTTACCTTTTTCTGTAACCAGTGTTCTTTGAGATGTGTTGTTCATGTTTATTCCATTGTAGGCATGTGTGATCACACACATGCACTGGTGTCAGAAGTTTTTCCCTGAGAGGTACCATAGGGGACTGACTCTGGAACCCTCTGGGGAAGCACATATATGCCATGGTATAAGGGGCACCACCAGCTCTCCCAATTCTCATTCCCTCTTTCCAGAAATGCCCACCCTGGGGAAGAAGGGCAGAGCACAGAATGGACATGAGCAAACAACACATTTCGAAAAACATCAGGTACAGAAAGAGTGCTTGCTAATGTCTTTTCCAGTCTAGGCAACTCCCAAGCAGTACCACTAGAGGTCAGCAGGAGTTCATGCACATGTAAACTGCAACATAGCTCTGCCAAACAGAGTCCTCTATGGCAGTGGTCCCCAACCTTTTGGGGCTGCCGGGTGCCTGAGGCGGGGCCGCGCGTGTGCTGCGCATCCGGGGGTGGGGCCACGTATCTGCTGCGTGCCCGGGGGCGGGGCCACGCGTGTGCTGCACATCCAGGGGTGGGGCCGCGTATCT